AGTCTCAAAATAAACGATTCCGCTGGAAGCGTGAATACGATATATGGTAATGCAAAAATTATTATGAGCTCCGGAAGAGTCAGCTTTTCAATGCCAAAGGGAACAAAGTTTGAGATAAATGATGTGTTATATTCCTCAAAGTCTTACAGAAACTTATTAAGTTTCTAAGATATTCGCAGAAATAGATATCATATAGAGACTACGAATGAGAATGACATTGAATATCTTTGCATTACATCAGAGAGGAAACATATATTGGAAGAATTGAAAATGTTATCCTCTGGATTATATTGCACAAAAATAAACATGACTGAATCATATCTTACAGTAAACCAGAAGTTTACTAGTACATTTAAATTTTAGCATAAAAGGTTAGGCCATCCTGGTACAGTCATGATGAGAAAGATTGTGCAAAATTCTAATGGCCATCCGTTGAAAAACGAGAAAATATTACAAATGGGCGAGTTTTTATGTAATGCTTATTCTCAAAGAAAAGTCGTAACTCGGCCATCACCAGCCAAAGTTGGGAATGAATCACCAGAATTTTTGGAAAGAATACATGGTGATATATGTGGGCTGATCTACCCACAATGCGGGCCATTTAAAAATTTTATGGTTTTGATTGACGCATCTAGTAGATGGTCACATGTGTGTCTATTGACCACACAAAATACGGCTTTCGCTAAATTCATTACCCAAATAATCAGGTTGAGAGCACAATTCCCTGATTATGTTATAAAGAAAGTAAGGCTGGATAACGCTGGTGAATTTACTTCACAAGTGTTTAATGATTATTGTATGTCTTTTGGAATCGATGTTGAGCATTCGGTTCCACATGTTCATACACAGAATGGCATGCTAAGCCATTGATTAAATGGTTGCAATGGATTACAAGGCCGTTAATATTGAGAACATAGCTCCCAATTAATGTATGGGGACATGCTATTTTGCATGCAGCGGCCCTGATCCAGATACGGCCAAATGCATATAATGAGTATTCTCTATTACAATTGGTATCTGGACAGGAGCCAAATATATCCCATCTTCATGTGTTTGGGTGTGCGGTCTATGTCCCTATTGCGCTACCCCAAAGAACAAAAATGGGACCACAAAAAAGATTAGGAATATACATCGGTTATACGTCACCGAGTATAATCAGGTATCTTGAACCAGTAACTAGTGATATGTTTACGGCACGTTTGGCCGATTGCCATTTTAATGAAGATGAATTCTCTGTGTTAGGGGGAGGATTGAGAGAATCACCAAAAGATATCACTTAGTGTACAAAATCTTTGGCTTATCTTGATCCTCCTACCAATCAACGTGAGATGGAAGTTCAGAAAATTGTACATATGCAAAATATGGCAAACCAGTTATCAGATGCGTTCACAGATACAAAGAGGGTGACAAAATCATATATCCCCGCAGCAAATGTTCCATCCAGAATTAGTGTTCTTGAAGAACACATTGATGGGAACATATCAAATGAACCTAGGGTTCAGTTAAAGAGGGGGAGACCGATGGTATCTAAAGATAAAATTCCCCGAAAGAAAAAGAATATGGGAGAAGAAAGTAAAAGGGTTCTAGAAGAACCATTTAAAGAAAAATGTCCTGAAGATATTTGTGAAAAGGTTCTAGAAGAACCATATAAAGAGATTCGTCATGGAGACGAATGTGAAACAGAAAAATATGAGATTTCCATCAATTGCACCCAAAATAGAGAATTATGGATCAGAGATAAAATAAAAGATATTGATAGAATACTCTCTTTTTCTGTATCTAAAGAGCTTGAAAGCGATGATCCAGATCCAAGGTCCATATCAGAATGTCAGAAAAGACATGATTGGGAGAAATGGAAAATGGCCATTGAAACAGAATTATTCTCCCTGAATAAAAGAAAAGTTTTTGGACCTATTGTCACAACACCAGAGCATGTAATGCCCGTCGGATACAAATGGGTGTTTGTAAGAAAGAGAAATGAGAAAAATGAGGCCACAAGGTATAAATCAAGGCTTGTGGCTCAAGGTTTTTCTCAAATACCGGGAAATGATTATGAGGAAACATATTCCCCGGTAATGGATGCAATAACTTTCAGATTCTTAATGAGTCTAGCAGCATCCATGAATTTAGACATGTATCTGATGGATGTTGTGACAGCATATCTATATGGATCATTTGAGAATGATATATATATATATATATATGAAAATTCCTGAAGGACTGAAAATGTCGGAAGCATTAAGATCAACATCTAAAGAGATGTGTGCGATCAAGTTACAGCAATCACTTTATGGATTAAAACAATCCGGACGCATGTGGTATAATCGCTTAAGTGAGTATTTGTTGAGTAAAGGCTTCATCAATAATGCGATATGCCCTTGTGTTTTTATAAAGAAATCCGAATCGGGATTTATGATCATTGCTGTTTATGTTGATGACCTGAATATAATCGAAACTCAAAAAGAGATTGATGATGCAAGAACTCATATGAAAGAAGAGTTCGAAATGAAAGATCTTGGAAAGATAAAGTTTTGTCTTGGGCTCCAGATAGAGCATTTCTAAGATAGTATATTTGTGCATTAATCAAATTATATGAAAATGATCTTAAAACGCTTTAGTATAGATAAAGCAACTCCTTTGAGTACTCCGATGGTCAATAGATCGCTCGATGTTGATAAAGATCCATTTCGGCCATGTGATGATAGCGAAGAAATATTAGGTCCTGAAGTACCTTATATGAGCGCTATCGGTGGGCTTATGTATCTTGCAAATTGTACTAGACCTGATATAGCTTTTGCTACTAATTTACTTGCAAGATACAGCTCATCCCCTACACGCCGACATTAAAACAGAATAAAACATATATTCCGTTATTTACAAGGTACCATTGAATTTGGTTTATTTTATTCTTGAAACCCCGAGTATGGTATGGTTGGTTTTGCATATGCATGATATTTATCAGATCCGCATAAGGCTAGATCACAAACTGGATATGTTTTTACAATCGGAGGAACTGCGATCTCTTGGCGTTCCCAAAAGCAAATTTTGGTTGTAGCGTCTTCAAATTATGCAGAAACTATAGTATTACATGAAGCTTGTAGGGAATGTGTGTGGCTCAGATCCATAATTCATCATATACAAGATGCAAGCGGTATAGAAACAAAAAAAGAGCCAACAAAAGTATTTGAAGATAATGTTGCATGTGTCGCTCAACTTAAGGAAGGTTATATCAAAAGTGATCGAACAAAATACATCCCTCCAAAAATTTTCACTTACACAAAGGAGCTCAAAAAAAATCAAGAAGTGGATATTCAATATGTTCGTTCATGCGACAACACAGCAGATCTATTTACAAAGGCACTTCCCACTATAACATTCAGAAAACATGTTCATAGCACCGGAATGCGTCATCTCCAAGATTTATGAAGAAAAAATTATATCCATCATTTCAGGGGAAGCGTTACTACACTCTTTTTCTCTCATCATGATTTTTATCTCAAACGGATTTTTTCATAATAAGGATTTTAACGAAACAATACATAATACATTATTAGTGATGGATAATTAAAAATAAATGTTAAAATAATAAGTAATTATCCCATCATTTTGTTATTATTGATTAATGACTTATCCACATAGTTTATCATTATTAATTAATAGCTTATTCACTAAGCTATGTAATGGCTATAAATAGCCCCCCTTTTCTTCATTGTAACATATGTCTGCGACATAGAAAAAAAAAATAGTTTTCTCTCTTTTCTCGCATCACTCACGTCTCTCTCTTCTTTCTTATTTCTTATATTCATTTTATTTATAACATCTACATATTTTTACTACAAATCTACAATTTCACCGAAGTGTTCAAAGATAATAGAGTAGACCATGCAGAGGACGTGAAGCAAGTCTTCTAATATGACCACTTTGAGATATTGTTTATTCTAACATGACTTAGAGACTTTGTATGGCTTTAAGTTCTCATTAGTTCATCATAATCTTTACTGAATTTTTTCCTTATGTGATTGTGTTCATCTTTCTAGATATTGCTTTATCTTCATGTTTAGTCCTGAGATTTTTATCTGAACCGAACTACCCGAACCGAGAAACTTTTTGGTTTTCGATTCTAATTCAGTTACTGAGATAAAACCGATAATTATAAATCTGGTTTGGTTATCGGTTCAGTTCGGTTTGCTGAACCAAACAGTTATCCAATTTTTTTTAAAGTCAAAATTAAATTGAAACATACCAAACTATACCAAATTATACTGAACCGAATATCCAAACTACCAAAAATACCTAAAATTATCCAAATTTGTTCAAAATTAAGCAAAAAAATATAAAAATTCAATTAATTTCAGATAACAAAATTTATACCCGAACTATCCAATATCCAAACCAAATAAAATTTCGATTATTTTTGGTAAAATCTTAGCAAACCGAACTACCCAACCTGAATTATCCGAACTTTCGAAAGTCCCAAGATCATTCATGTCTACGGTACAGCCTACAAGCCAAGCCGGTACCTAAGCATGCTTGGGCTCTCACCCTCAACCCCAGTTGTACATTGTTGGGCTCTAACGTGTGTGCGGATCCAAGCCAGAGTCTTGAGAGCAACAGTCTCACAAGATGTGAGCATATAAACAGAAAAATCAAAAAAAAAAAAAAAAATGAAAGAGAAGTTTCACGATAGACTCAACGACCATTTTCGTTAAGATTCATTACTTCCACAACAGTGTTTTGCAAAAATAAAGACCCAACGACAACATTGTCTTCTAAGTAAATCATATAATAGTATATATAAGTACGATTTTTTCACGACAGAATAATCGGCACATTAGACGGACTCTTACCCCAGAGACCCAGACTCAAAAACCCCAAAAGTCTACTAAAAAAATTTTAGAAAAAGATTCATATTAAAAGTCAAAAGGAGAACCACAAACGCGGGTAGATATAAAAGCAGCTTTCCTTTTGATATTCGTCATCATCGATAATCCCACTTTACTTTACAACCCACCTGCACCTTCATCGTCTCTCATCATGCTTCCAGGAATCTCCTTCTTCAACTTTGGCTGAAAGTCAAACATAGTCTTGTTAGCTTTATCGTTTCACTTTCTGTTAACGTAATCTCACACTACTAAACTTGCCTGGTTTTGAAGAGCTGTAATGGTGGACCTAAGCAGATCATCTCCTACGATAGCCCGCAGTTTCCTCACAAACTCCGCTCTCGTTATCTTCTTCTCCTGTTAACACAGATCTCTTTAAATCCCAAGCTCTCAAAATACATTATATAGCAATCTCTCTAAAAAAATCAGGTTTCTACCCTCAGTTGTTGGTAATCAGCATTGATGAAAGACATGTCCTTCTCCGCAATCTTATGTGAGATTGCTGCAAACAGAGTAGGAAACGGCATCCATGGAGATTTAGGCTTTGTAGTGCTCGAGCCGACACTGTTTGCGCTCCCTGAACCACCTTCTGGTCCCTGTTTTTAAGATAAACAACCCAAAGTATATACATGTTCAATCTCTTTGAAAATAAGATCACTGACAGGGAAACACTAAAGGAACCAAAACTCACGTTTGACTCTAACTGTGGAGGAGGAAGATGATCCTTGGGTCCTTCCAAAGTGACCCCCGAGCTGTTATCATGCTTAGCAACCAAATTACCTGCAGAAACCAGTGTATGTCATCGACTTCCTCATACTACGCAATACAGAATGTGATGGATCGAAATACCCATTAAAAGCCGTGAGTTATCTCCATCCGACCCCCGGATGATGAAATCAGAGACGTGTCTCTTGAAACCAAATGTGTTAATGTAACACCGGAGGTCGTTAGGTTTTTTTTATCACACATGGGTTCTAAATTTATCAGTTGAGACCTGAGCTTCAGCCACAGATCTCTAAGCTGTCTCCCTTTCAATGCGTCATCAGTTGATTTGAATTTGTCTAAAAAAAATTGATATGTGAGGGAACGATAAGGGAACAAACTAATCACCTTCAGCATTTGGGAGATTAGACAGCTTGAACCTAACAACAAATTCCGGTAATATATGGGTGTTCATATTGATGTTCCACACAACGTAATTCTTTGGATTCTCGACATCGTCCACTCCATTGTCATACTCTTCTCCACCAGAGAAAAACTGCGCTTTGTCACCACGAAGAAGCTCCATGTTCCCCATTATCACACGGCAGAAAATCATGTACCGTACTCCGTTTTCGTCACTATCACAGTACCTTGCACTGAAAACAAGTTTCACCAAAGTCTCTCTATTAGAGATAGGAGCTTAAAACATATGAACTAAACAAAACGAAAAGAGAGAAGCTAATGAGGTAAAACCTGAAATAAGGGCAGTGTGATGCAGTTAAGTGAATCCCAACACCGTAGATGGACTTTCTAATAAATGCTCCACCAACTCCGAGTCCCTGGAGCATAATCGCAGATAGAACTTCCCTCTTTGCAGGAAGCCACGCGTATCTAACATTCGCATCCCCACGATGTTTCTTAGTGATCTCAACCTGCTTCTCGAAAAGCGCTTGACGAGCTTCAGCAACCTCGCTGGAGAAACGCCCCACATCCAGCACAACTACAGGCCCAAGAGAAGCTGTACCTAGAACAAACATTTTTTTAACAGCGTCTTGATCACGTCCTTCCGGCTTGAGACCAGAGGCTACTATAGCATCCGTCTCATCCCATTTCGAAACTGCGGCTTCAATCCTGCGGCTGGAGCTATCCTCTGCTGGAACATCGTCCATATTGTCGCCGGATTCATCGCTGCACTCCTCCAAATTCAACCTCGGTGACTCCCCACCATTAACATCAATCTCAAGGCGCAGCTTGATCTCACGCGGAGCATACTGTTTCGAATCTTCCACGCGGTTACTATGGCAGCAATCGTGCCTTTCATCAGTCTCGTAAATTTCAGGGAAGAAACATTTTCCTGCAATGTCAATCCACGCAAGCGGGGTCTTCGCGCCTGTTTCCAAGTCTAGCCTATGCATGTGCAAGAAATCCAAAAGAAAATGACGACCACACAACTCAAACTCAATTGCTGCCTTCTTTTCACCTAGTTCATTTCGGATGGCAGAGATAACATGATCAGGCAAATCGTTCCATTCACCATTCTCGTAGATCATCACACGTTTAGCGATTCCCGTCTTCTTAAAATAGGTGTAGTATCTGACCAACGACTTCCCAGAGCGATTCTGCTTGTTTTCACTTTCCATTTTCCTCCTTTTGTCAGGAGTTTGACACTGTGGGGGCAAATCTTGAAGCTTAGCAGAGGATACTCCAGAGACATATGCAGCATAGCTCGCTGCGCGCTTCCTCTTCTTGCCAAATCCATCTTCACACCTACTATCCAACACCTTGACGATCTTGGTCTCCATTTCTAGCTATTAACAACGCTAAACCTATAACCTTGAAAGTAAAAGTCAACTGTAACCTATAAGTCTCTAGCGGTCCTAAAGATAGAGTCTTGCCGGTAGCATTAGAAAACACTGCACAAAAGAAATGGAAATGTGCTTTAGATGTTAAATCAACCAGATTAAAAGTCATAAGAAGGAAACTAAACATTATGAAATCAGAAAACAAAAGAAAAAAAATCAGTATAAATTTAGGAGACTACTACTATCATGCAATAACACCCGTCACAAAAGACATTTGCTACAGTCTACATCAGTAAGCAAAGTAATGAATAGTCTTTCATGAGTTATTTTTCCTTTGAATAATCAAATAGCAATACAAAAAGTAGCATATTCATACAAAAAGAGTATGCGTCTTTTGTGTGACAACCTTCACTTTCTTTCAATAAAATATCAAAGAGATTAGGAGGAAAAAAAAACGAAAGAAATTACGAGTCAACAAGTGAAATCTTATAAGAAACTAAAAGGTAACAAATGTTTATATGCAAACACATAACCAAAACATGCAAAAACTGCAAACATAGAACAGCAAATCCAAACCATGAGCTTCAAACTCACCCAACGGTAACAGTTAGAGCCTGATAGATAGATACATGTGTGTTCATCTTCTTTGTCGTAGAAATAAACACAATCAGAGAAGAAATGACACCGTCTTAATCGGTTTTTTACAACCGTCGTCAAGAAAGTTCCTGCAAATTACAAGCCATCAAATCTTAGCTTTAAACAAACATTTGAGATCATGAATTTGTTTAATTACAAAAAAAAAGTGAAAGCTCTTGTGGCTACAGAGAATCCATAAATCGAAGCAAGTCAACTCGGTTTATCTTCGTTATTAATTTAACCCAAAAAAAAACTAAATCAGAGGCAAAGAACGCAGATCGCAGACAGAAATCACACGAATAATTCATCAATTCAATCCAAACAAGTCAAAACGTCTCGGAATCGTACGAATCTACGCCGATCTACCAGAAACAGCTTTTGAAAAAACCAAAAACCGAATTCGCGAAAATCGGAGATGAAATCCGGGAATTAAAAAATCAATAAAAGATATAGGAATCGCATGCGACGAATTTAATAATAAAACAAACGAAATTAACCTGATGGAGTTATCAGATCGATCGCTGAGGCAAGGGTTTTCCGCTAAAGCAAAAAAAGCTAAACCAGAAATTACGGAGGGGAGATAAGACGAATAAGAAGATATGTTGCTTATAGAGAAGAAAACCCTAAGCCGGCGATGACGACGAAGAAACTGTTTCGAAGGAGACGACTCATTATATAAGTACCTTCGGCGATATTCAGGAAGAAGAAAAAAAAAGCTTAAGTCGGCGGTTCCTGAGTTTTCCTCTTCTCCTAACCAAAAATTTGCTTGGACGAAAAGCAAATCATTTGGGTTATGATAAAGTCACAAGGCGTTCACTTAGTAAAAGTCAAAGTCGAAATCTTATTGGATGGTGATATATTGGTGAGGCGGTCAATACACGGAGTTAGATATGGTCGAATAAAAATAATGGAATAATATTATCATGTGGAGAATTAATATAACTGTAACAAAGTTATAAAAGTATTAAAAACTGAAAAAAATAGTGTTTTGACGGAGACGGAGACGGAGACGGACCATGATGAGATTGTTAATCGATGGGTAAGGGGCCACTTGAATGGAGGATAACTGTTGAAATAAAAATATAATATTTTGATTGCATAGAGATCTACATGGTATTCACTGTATTATTTAATGAATAAAGTTTTAGTGGTCTGGCAAATATTTTTTTTTAAAGTAGTTATAAATATTTAGAAGTTTTTGAACAGTTTAAACAAAAATCTGAAAATTATTATCTTAGATTATTAAAAAATATTTAAAATAATTTCGCGCGCAAAATTATTTTTCTGAGATCAAAATATAGGTTTTAAAAATAAAATGGTAATTTTAATTTTTTATAACGAGTTAAATTTTACACTATTTTTATTTTAGTAAATGATTACAGAATAAAACATATAAAAGAAAAACAAAAATTACTAAAAACAGTAATAAACAAAAAGTAATAAATTAGAATCTAAATTACATTAAAATCATTAACTTTTGATAAATTAATTATTATATTTGATTTTATAAGTGAAAAGTTTCTCACCTGTATAAAAATAATTGTAAGAACATTAAACTATAAAAAATGTGTCGGTTAATGCATTTATATATATATATAAAAAAATTGATACAATATATCATTTTATCGTGAAAATTTTAATTTAACAAATACTTTCAAATATTTAGATTTAGTAGTGCCTTCAATTTTTCTGATAACTTTTTTTTTTGAATAATACATATTACACTTTCAATCCTCAAAAGTATCCAATTCAATTAATGTATCATTGGTTTGGGGAAAAAAATATACCATTTTTATGTGGAGAAATAAGATAATTATGCTTAATCAATATATACTAGACTTATACTCGTGTATACGCACAGGTTTTTTCTAAAATATATTTTATTATAAATAATATAATATTTTCATTTGAATTTCATACTTATAAATTCTTTTTTAAATAATGTATATTTACTAAATGTAATGAACTTCTGTAGATATTAGAGTTTAATTTATAACATTATATGCTATTTTTAGGGGAGCCTATCATTTTATAGATATCGATGAAACATAGTTATCCAATATAATTTTATATATTTATCACCAGAGCTACATAGACCCGACAAGATTTATTTATATTCCTTTACCAACACTTTTGTCAAATTTTATCTTTTTATTTTCTACTTTGGCAGAAAGTAGTTTTACCTGATTTTATTATATCTTAAATATTCTTTATTTCAAATGTAATTTTTTCAATATGGATCTGATTATTTGTAGATAAATTAATTCAGTTTTTCAACTTTAATTTATAAACAAATAGTTTTTCATATTCTCAAAATGCATTAATAGAAATAATTAAAATTATTTTTTTATGGTTTTAATATTAAGTTGACACTTGTCACGATAAAACCGATTTATATGCATACACCAACACCTTTGTCATCTTTAAATCTTCTACTTTGGTATAAATTAATTTCATCTGATTTTATTATATCTTAAATATTCTTTATTTGAAATTTAATTTTCAATATGAATTTGATTATTTGTAGATAAATTAGTTCAGTTTTACAATTTTAATATATAAATAAATAGACTTTTCATATTCACCAAATGCATTAATAAAAATAATTATTATTTTTTATATTTTTAATATTAAGTTGACACTTGTCACTTGGAAATTCATCTGAAATGATGATGTGTCAAGCTGTGGGAGAGGGCTCACCTCTATTCATATATATGATTACGATGAATGATATATTTTAGGGCAATTTCCATAATTATACTGAAAATAAGTTTTCAGAACAAATATAATAGGGAAGTTAAAATTTTTCCACTCCTAACATTTTTCATTTGAGTTTTCCTATTTTATCCTTTATGAAAGGCTTCCTAAAAGTTTTTTTCTGTTAATATTCTCGATTTTTTTAGGAAGTTCTTCCAAATACTAGACTTTAACATCGTTTCATATGGTTTAGAAAAGCTTTCCTAAATTTTTTAAAATTTCCTAAATTGCGGAAGGGCTTCCTGAATTGTGGAAGAGTTTCATGAATTGTGGAAAGGTTTCTTAAATTTGAGTTGTATAGATTAACCAAAATAATAATCAATTATACGATTTATGAAGGCATTCCTAAATACATGTAATTACTTCCTTAATTTATACATTTTAGAAAACTTTTACTAAAACTTTAGAATATCTTCCTAAATTTACGCTCATCTCTTTCTTCACATCTGCGACGTCCAAACCCTAATTCCCGCCGATTTCTTTTTTTTCACCATTGTTACTGTTTTAGCTCAGGTTTCTTGAGTTTTTAACCCAATTATATCAGATCTATCTATCATTATATGATTTTGAGCTTTAAATCCTGAAATCACTTTTCCATAAAAAAAAACCTTAAAAATCTAAGAGATTCACAATCACAAATCACAAATCACAATAAATTGAGAAGAGTGATCCTAAACAAAACAAATAATTCAAATTTCAGATCAGTCTTGGTCATTGATATATTTGTTTGTACATTATTTTTCTTCTCTTTTTATTAACTAATGTTTTGTCTAACTAAGATTAATATGGTACAAAATGTTATGGATGAAATTTTTTAGAGTGTTAATGTATATGTGGAACAAAAACTTAGATTAAGTGCATTTGAAGGAATTTCTCTATATTTTATACCCAATTGCATAATAAATAATTTATCAATAAATAAAAAATCTATATATTACCAAATTTATTGCATATAATACCAAATTAATTAGTTTGACCTTTGAGGCAAATAGTTTATTTGGACTAGTGGATCCTAAAAAGTAAAATAATAAATAATAAAAAATGTTGCAGGAGCATTACATAGTCCAAATGGCATTCTGCGATATGCAAATGTGCCACAGGAACAAGTAAATGTGGTCTTCTCCTGGTCATCTGGGTGAATGGGGATCTGAAAGAGCCAGAGTAGCCATCCAAGAAGCAGTAGTAGGAGTGATTTGCCAACTTCTCCAGCATCTGGTCAATGAATAGCAATGGGAAGTGGTCCTTCCTTGTAGCAGCGTTGAGCTTCTTGTAGTCAATACACATCTTGTGCTCAGTGATGGTCCTTGTAGGAATCAGCTAATTCTTCTCATTCTTAACCACTGTGACTCCTCCTTTCTTGGGAACCACATGTACTGGACTGACCCAGGTGCTATCTGAAATCGGGTAGATGATCCCAACAGCTAGAAGCTTCATGATTTCCTTCTTCACTACATCCTGCAAGTTCGGATTCAGCATCCTCTGGTTCTCAATTGACGACTTGGACTCATCATCAAGGTGTATCCTGTGCATGCACAACTCTGGAGAGATACCTGAAATGTCATCAAGAGAATAGCCAAGAGCTTTGCGAAAAGTGCGCAGCTTGCTTG